GCTTAAGTTTTTTTTCATATGCTTATGGACCAAGAGCAGCAAAGAAAGGTAGAGCCAGTTGTCAATGCAACAGGACTGAGAAAACTTGAATTTCTTCAGAACTTCAAAATACTCTTATGAAAATAGAAACAGATTTAGAGATGGGCCTTTCAAAAAGTGCTGTAAGCAGTGAACAACTTCAGCTCCTGACAGATAATTGTATTTGCACTAATGCTTGACCTGTGTAAGTGGACTGTTCCTATTTGAACTAGTTCATTTAAGACTGTCTTGAGGACATGAGAAGAAAGTTATATTTCTAAGTTTGAACCAATCCCAACTTGAAATCACATCCCATACTGTGGCACTTTTGTTCCAGAAAACTTAAAGACTGCAGATAAGAGAATGGGCTGGGAAGCAATGCCAAGATCAATAAACCACCTCAATCCCCCCCATTCCCCACTCCCTGTAGTTACAATCTCACCTATCATTTTAAAACCAGTTTAGACAGATGCAAATTTTGAGGGAATATAAATCCCAATTCAGTAAAGCATTTGGGACTCAAATTCCACTTTGGTTAATACTAACATACATCACAGAAGCAGGTCCTTTTTATGTAAGAGGGGGTTATCTGTGAAATCTTTACAATATTCTTACTTGCATTTCATGTTTCATTCAACCCAATTAGACTTAAAGCAAATATTTATTAGGAAACAGTCACAGGGGCACAATAAACATACACTATCTGGGGAAGAAAGATTTTTTTAAACAAATGTATTTTGAAAAATATAGATAAGACACAAAGGCTGTTTGGAGTCCGTTTGAAAAATATCACATGGTGTTGACAAATGTAGCTTGGCTTCCCAAACAGGTAGAAAATTCTTGAATGCTCAGAATCCAGGCATTATCTATGTTTTTCTGTCTGCATGGCACAGAAGAATGAAAATGGAGTTTAAAAATACAGAATAGATTTAGCAATGCCCTTCTTTAAATTTGAGGGACCCTAACCAAGATACTTACACACTATTAACCAGGTTACCTGCACTACTACCTACTACTCTAAAACATACTGCAATTTTGCATGGATGTGACTGAGTATTCCTCAGAAAAATAGTTGGAGAAAAATATCTTGTGCAATATTGGTACAATACTATTACTAAGGTAGTTCTGCTTCCATGACACTGTACAATGGAAAATACTCAAAGGCTCTGTGCAACTACAATTCCTGTTAAAGCTATTTCCACCTGTCAAGCTAGTTAACTAGTTTGCGGAGTATTTTTTATTATTATTATTATTATTTAAAAAGCTAATTAAATAATACTTAATACATATTTTGTGAAAATTCATTTGCAAGCAAATTGCAAAGACTCTCTGGAGCTTATAATTTAAGATCTAAAATGACTGTGCTCATTTCATATCAGTAATACTTTTAAATAATTGAAAGCACTTCAAAAATTGAAGGAATATACTTCAGTGCTTGACAAACACTGAACAACCAGTGGCCAGCTCAATATAAGAATCAAGACTGGAAGCATGACTGCTGGTGCCTCTTTTTCTCTGCAATGGCCTCAAAGTTAGCCTGATGGCTCTCTGGGCTTTTTGCCAACACCACACACCAGATTAAAATAGAAAGAAGAGAAATAGACAACCTGGGGTCCAAAATTTAATTCTGACCTTATGTATCACCTCTATGGGAGGCTTGGGCAAAGCAGAATGCTAATCTACCATATAAGGGGGGCAGCACAAGAAAACTAGAAAAAAACTTACCAGAAAAATGTCTTCTCTATCATGTGCACATTTTGGTATTATGAGACCATCGATCTTGAAAAATAATCAAATCTTCATGTATAAACATTATGTTATTCTCAGAAAGTAATATTTGATGTACAATGTAGTTACATGTCCACAGCCCACTTTCTTTCAGCATGAGATAAACTATATTTTTTATGGCTTTAACCCACTTTATTCAAACCATAGACATTTCAGTTTCAGAGATTTGTGGGTTTATGGATCTCATTAACTATGAAATATGGACAGCATATTAGAAAGCAGATTTGAAAGTCAATGATGAAAGGCTCTCTTCATTCTATTAGAAGAACAGGTTCTATATTTTCTCTAATATTTCACAGTGGAAGTTCAGTGTTCTTCTGCTACAACATACTTGCTAATGGAGTCCTTTACAGAAGCAGATTTTTTTTAAATTAAATTAGTGTATTTCACAGAATTGTTTACAAGAAGTAAACATTTTTTTCTACATTTAAAATAATACTATAGTATTGAGTCCAAAATGGCAAATGAGCAAACAACTTCATAAAATTTTGCAGATGCTGACTAAGTTTAACATAATTTCCTTGAAAGCTCTGTTAGTAAGTCTTTCTAAGGATCACTTTTAACCTTTCAGTGGAGAATAAAAAGTATGGTAAACAGACTAAACTCTATTCCTGATTTCCTACTATAAACCGCACTTATTAATTAGTTATATACTAGTGTAATTCACTGCACTTGGATCATTTGATTTTAAACACAAACATTAAGCTGTTAAATACCTACTGATAACCTATTTACTAACTATTAAAATAACAGCCTATCTCAAATTTGTAAAATGACCAGATAAACATAGTAAGGAGCAAAACCAGCTTAAGCTGCTCTGAGGTGGAATCTTGAATATTAGATTCTTGAATGATAATACTCAGAAAGCTTGCTTTTTGATCATTATTCTTAGAGTACCTACATAAGATACTTGATTTATTTAGTGTACTGCTCTTTCAAAAGAAAATTCCCAGGACATAATTAAATTCATCTACATACCACATTTTAGAATCACAGAAACAGGAAACAGACCATTTTTTACTCTTCCTGTGAAGTGAGAGTAACATCATATAAATCTTGAAACTGATTCTGGTGCTTTCACAAAATTACAGGCAGCTTATATATGAAAAAAAAGTATTTTTATGGCTATTAAAACAACATAACATCTTTTCTTGATATAGCTTGACGAGACACAGATATACAAGAAACTGAAAAAGAGCAACTGTTTACCACCAGGAAATTCACCTCATCAAAACACAGAAAGGGAGGTTAATTTGAAGGCAAACAGGGGAAAGTTTTGAAACCGTTATTAATCTATTCACAAACTCAGAATAGAAAGAGACCAAAATCTTTCCTCACTATTCCCTTTAGAGGGATTTATTCTGACTCAAACTATTACCAAAGGCACTATTGTGAATTTTAATAGAATAAGACAAGGAAGTGCTCTACAAAATAGCTTGATACAAAAATTTCAACTGCATTATATGAATCTTTTGTTGTTTTTTAGCACAGCAGAAAGCATTATGTGACAGTGCATGAAGTGCTTTCTTAAGCAGCAGAGGGACAGAACTTTGGAAAGGACCTTCCGATAGCACACAGAAGTCAATTCCAACAACATGCTGTCCACTTCATGAGACAGTGTAAGACCAGCTTCACATTTCATGCACTTTGATGCCCATAACTATCTGCCATAAGCTTTGTGGGAAAATAATACAATTTTGTGAACAACTCTGAATTAGTACAATGCTGATAAGTACCATACATTGATTAATATTACATGTTTGCAACACTCAGATTTCTATTTTCATAGAATCACAACACAAATGAAGCACATAAAGACCTCTAATTCAAACAGAATAAACTTTCAAACACTTCAGAAACTTCTGTAGTAATACCTAAGTGTATCTTAATGTATATATGTAGTAGACATTGTAAGATATAAGTGCACCTATAAACAAATTGTTTCAACACTTAAGCTTGGTTTCCTTTATGCTTTTGCTGAATGACTGCCACACAGATTTGATAAAGTAATGATACTCCCAATGTTGAGTGCAACACTATGTGCAATAATGTCTTTGACAGAAATAAATCCTACATTTTTGCTGTTTTCCATATTGTCTTCATTTCACAGCTTCCTTTTCGTTACACAGATCTTACACTTGATCAGCTGCAGAACAAATTTGTGATGAATTTTTAAAAAAATGATAGGACACTGGACTTTATCTGTTATAATGAATCAAATAATGAAACTGGAAGCACACTGGTTTTGTTAATTTGGTCCCTGTGCACTAGAAACGAATGGATGGTAATAGGAGTGGTTGGTTTACCTTGCTATCAGCAAAAAGTACTTTTAAAATTCTCACATGGATGGTTCAAAGCAACAGAGAATTTATTGGAAATATAAGCGAGATTTACAGAGTGAAGATATGTCAAGGTTCTAACCATTTCTAATCCTTTCCCACCTACTTCTACGTAAACCCACAACTCAAATGGCCATTGACAAGTACAGTCTGTGCTCTGCACTACTAATACTTTGAATACAATTTGAAGCTGTGACATTGAAAATACTCTTGTATAATGCCATATGCAAGAAGATAAATTTAAATGGTTCTACTGCAATAATCGTCTAGCAACTTGCCTTTCCACACGTGGATTGAAGAAGATAGGAAAGGAAAAAGCCAGATTTGCATGGCATATATGAAATATTTAAAAGAACTCGTGACTAATTATAGAATAGTGTAATCCAAATAGTTTTCACTACAGTGGGTCACATTAGGTGACCATTTTTCTGGTTAGGTTTATACTATGTTTATATTCTCTCTCAAGTATACTTAAACTTGATTTAATGTAGTGATTTTCATACAACCTATGTCCCAAAACACAATCCTCCTCAGTAAAAAATAATGTAGCAATGTTGTAAGACAGGATTCACTGCTACAAAATTTTTAATCAGATCGAAGTCTGGAAGCCAAGTAAGGAAGTAATCTAAGACTACTTTGCTCACCCTACTTCACAACCACCAGAAAATGTCCTTTCCATTTTAAGTTTTTACGTGATTAACAAATGTAAGTATTCACATGAAATGTAGCACATTAAAAGCCTATGTATTTACCATGATCCTTAGTTCCCATATCTGCAAAAAATTAACGTAGAACAATTTTCCCCCAAAATATTTTTCATGACCATTTTATGCAACAAATTATTCTGGCCCATACCTGCAGACCTGCCAGTTGAGCAGCTGACTTCCCTTTGAGGCAGAGAACGAGTGCCAGAAATGCATTTAAGTCCTCCAGAGAGAGGCTACTGACCTAAAACAGGTGAAAAAATAACACATTATCTGAAGGCTCTGAAGAGAAACTCTCCTGAAAATTGACTCCTTTTGCTCAAGCACATCAAACTTAGATCAATGACCTCATGTACTTATGACCACCACGAATGCATTGTCTAGGAAAACACACTTTCAGGGAACAAAATACTTTCTTTCACAACTTGAAAGAAATGCATATCCCAATACTTGTGTATAGTGTATATACATGGATTTCCACACACCAAAAAAAAAAAGCCCACCCCTCTTTATTCCCTTTTCTGCTTCCCTTGAAGTTTCTTAGTAACAGGAATTAACTTCATCTCCATAACACCAAGTATAGTAAAAAAATGAGATTAAAAAAAATTGCTTTATAATTAACATCCAGGATAAAACCCTCTTCACTGAGCCACAGACATGATGACTATTGGGTTTTTTTGCAAATGCTTACACAGTTATCTGTTGGAAACTTTAAAAATAATTTAAAATATTTAATTGCCTATTTTTACCTAAATTTCAGGATTTTTAGACTACAAATTGAAGTGGGGAAAACTCAAAACTATGAGAAAACTAAATCTAAAATGTTCAAATGGGGTAACATAAAGAAAAATTCTAAATTCACGTAACAGTTCACTCTAATACTTCTATGAGTGAAGGGGGAATGGGGGCTTTTTCTGCTGTGAAAAGGTGTTCTGACATTCTATAGAGGCACAGGGTCATCTCAGGAGAAAGACAGCGCCTTGAGACCAGCTGGGATGATCCCATGACAATACCAGTTCAGTTCTGATCCTTTCCTTTCTCTTATAAGAACATTATGTGCACCAAGACCACATATCTGTTACAACTGCTGAGGCTATAAAAAGGGCTTTAAAGTAAGAACCATAAAACATTACAATTCCTTATCAACTGGAATTTGAGGAAAGGTTTCTCTTGCAAAATGTGGAAATGTGCATTGTGGGCTTACAGAAAAGTTAAAAGGCTGCCTAAAACTCTGCATTGCCTTTCTTTAAACAGCTTAATTTTTGAGGAATGTTTTGTACATTCTATTTCAATCCATTAAGAGCTTCTATTTAGTGAGAGATAAAATAAAGGAGAGAAAAATTAACAAAAAAGTATTAATGTAAATCAACAGGAAAAACCCCCAAACATTAAGAAGCCATCTATAATTATGTCATTCATTTATTTGCTTAGGAGGACTAACTCATTCTTTCCTCCTCAGGATAAAAATTATCTAACCACTACTGAGAATTTTAAAAAATCTTTTAAAGTCAGGCCTTGCGTTTGTTGCACTGTAAAATACTTTTCCCTCTATGATGTTGCTAAATCTTGCATAAAGAATGGGAGGGATATTAGAAAAATGTTAAGCTTTTAAAATGCTCCTTGGTATTCATTAACTCCACCTATCTGCTACGATCTGATAATGGCCCTACTTTACCCTGTAGTTCAAGTCAGGTGTCACCTTTGTGTAGACAGCAACAAGAGTTTTACTGAACCTGCACATTTTATATATTGAAGTAACAGAAAAGTGACTTTCATCTATGAAATAATTCTCAATACTTGCACAGTTTTGGGCTAAGAAAAGGAAATCAAATATTGTTTGCAAGTACAACAGCAAGAAAATGCCACTAACAGAGCAGAGGAGCCAAAATGCTTACAAATGTAAAAAACACTCCTTTGGAGAAATATTTTATTCAGTAACCAAACTTGGAGAGTTACCACAATTCCACTGTAAGATTTATTCCAAAACCATAAGAGATTGAAAGAGATATTTCCCCTTTCTTTGCAGACTTCACATTTTGTATTTGAACTCATTCACTCCTTTCCCAACTTTAAAAACAGACCTGTTATTTTGTAAATTTTTGTTCTTAATTTGGAGGATATTTGAAAAGTACCCTCACTGAAAAAAATACTTTTCAAATCAACACTTTCTTTACATAGTTAAGGTTTGTTTATTATATTATTTCTTACTTTTAAAAAAAATGAAGTTTTCATTAAACATTTGCACATAAGTTTTGAGGAAGCCAGATGGGTTGGCCAATATGATGGTTCCCATAAAAACCTAACTTTTAGGTTAGATTAAATAATGAGGAATGGAATTTTTAAGAAGTTTATTCTCCCTCACATGAGTTGAAGGAAAGCTTGAAGCCTGCTTTAAGGCAACCTACAATTGGTCAACTTAAATAATTTTTGAGAAAACAATCCACCTTCCTTCTCTAATAGAAATTTAAGACTAAAGTGTAAAGTAAAGACAAGGATTAGATCACAGTTAGACAAGCATTGTTTTCTCAGCTATAAAACAAATGGAAGCAATATGGACAGCTCAGAGCATGGCTGCTGACACTTGCTCTCAAGTTTTCCTCTCCAACACCCCAAGAGAACAAATGGACAACACCAGAGAAATAAGCAACATTTAAAAAAACTCAGCAATGAAAAACGTTTAAATCCAAATTGATTCCCTAGTCTCGTTCATAGGGAAGATTGTATTGTGGCAACTCAGAGACCAGAAGAGAATCAGAAAAACAGGACAGATGTTAAGAAACTGGCACCACCATGAAAAACCTTTCATCAAACTAAGCCCTTTCCATGATCTCTCTGCTATTATTGCTGTTGAAAAGAAGAGCTGTGAAACTGCTTTCATCTCTGTTTTTAACAGTAGCCATTGGATAATGAGTTCTGAAAACCATTTCCCTGACAAGCATTTTTATTATTTTACTAATATGCTGTGATCAAGGTTCAGTAAATCCACATTTCTGTAGGTGTTCCATCCTGTTACTCCTCTTTGTAATCCCACTAAAGAAACCCTTTTCAAACACTTTAGTTATCATGCTGTGAAAGATTTTGCAGGATAGCACAATAAATAAATGAAAGAGTGATAACAGATAAATAAATGAAACTGCAATTTCATATCCAAATATGAAGAATAAGTATGTTAAAAGCTTAGTACATGATATGTATCTTGCTGAATTGAAACTGCAAGGCATGAAATGATGCCTAATGAGTTTCATCTTCAAAAAACCTTCAATTTATATTCTGTGATACAAAAATTAAAGAAGAAAAAAAAAGAGCTATATGGATCACTTGTATAATTCCCACATGTATTTCCTCAATGCATCATTTAAATTCGAGTAAACACAAAAAGAAAGGAAAAGTAAGGGAGAACTTGTTTTCATGTATCACATGCCAGTATAAATCTGCTATTGAGGAAAGTGAAGTCTGAGAAAGCAGAACAATAGACAAAATGCAGTTCAGTGGAGGTGCAAGTGAAGCAGAGCTTATCAGATTAGATAAAAGCATTATAATTTTCTCATCCTCAGAGAGGAAAATTTGCTTGTGAGATCAGCATTTGAAATGAGGCAAGTACAGACAATATATTAAATACCTAAGAGAAAAGTAAACAATGAAGCAATATGGTATTTAATCTTGTGCCCCTTTTTATTACAATTAAGGTAGTCTTCAGGCTGCCAAATATTTGGAATTATAACAGAACTGCTACCTAATGATCCTCTATTACTCAGAATTTAATGAGAAGAGCCATTTCCTCAATTCTAGCTTGAAAATGAGTAGATTGACAAGATGGTGTGAAAAAGCAGTGAGAGCTAACTAAATATTTAAACTGCTGTTTGCACAGCCTGCATAGTCACCTGAGGGAATGTCTTCTTTTGATAACACAAAGGAAACACAGAATGAGCAGCTTTAGTTTGCAAACAGGTCCCAAAAAACAGGGGAAATCCCTCAGTTTATACTCTCTCTGTTAAACTGCCCAAGGGGTTTTGTCATGGGCATGTGCGAGTTATGATTAACTACCAAAAAAACCCAAGTATTTCTTGAGCAGGATGGTGCATGTTAAGTAGAGTAATTAAAAATACTGTAATGCAGTACTGTTATATTTGATCAACTATGCCTACAGTAAAGATTAGGAGAAGAATCTAGCACAGGCTAGCAAGAAATAGTTTATTAGTCAGTCACATCTATTGGCTGACAGTGGAAGAAAAAGCAACTGTCCCAGTTACCTGCATCATAAGATAGGTCAGCAAGCAACAGAATCCTGCAACAGGTGCTTCTAGAGCTTGGAGTTCTTCCACCTCATCCTGAAGGTGAAAGCATGCCATAAACGTACTATACCGTTGCTTTTCCACATCAGGTCCTTTGGCAAGCCACAGTGTTTTCAAATTAGGTGTTCCACCTACAAAGGAAATCCGTCATTTTATTTTGGCAGCAACAAGATAAAACACGTCTACCTCATTACAATCTGAAAGGAAACAACTGATCTGCTCTTAGTACTTGCAAGGATCACAGAGCTGAAAATAAAATGTATTTGACAAAACTTGCATTGGAAAAAAAATAACATAAAAATACAACCTGTAATTTAAACAAAATGTATTGAATACAGGCATGTTTAAGCAGAATGGACTGAATTAAACTGTTACAACAACATAGAAAACTTTGAGACAGCAGGCACTTAACCTATGCAAAACCAGTTTGCCTGCAAGTGTGTTCTTTCCCTTGGGAATCCACAGCATTAATTGAAGTTCACTTCATCATAAATAGTGATTCAGCAGAAAACAACTAGATCTTTTTCTTCTGTCTCTCCTAGAGCTGGTGTATCCCTGAAGGATCCTCACATTATCTCCCTTATAATCACCTGTTTTAATGAACAAACTGATCACCTATGCCACTTGCTGGCAAACAGGTATTCTCCATATAACACTGTGTTGGTATGACTCCTCTGCAGTAGGTTCCAGTTTGGGAACAAAAACCAAGGTGATCTGGTATTTTGCACTCCGTAGGCTACTGTATGAAACACTGCTGCAAACACACACAAAAGAACTGTCATCAGTTATGAATAATGTATCTTTCCAGAATTTCTATACTATCATTCATGCTTGTTTCTAAATCCTTAATATTTACGTCATGTTGCCATCTCCCAGTTTGTGACATGTGTGAATTAATACAAAATTTGCTCCTCATTTAAATTACATTTAATCTGTTATCAAAATAAACACTAATGCACTTGAAATAACAGAACAGCTAACTGGTTATGCTTGAGAATCTCAATAAAAGACAGAATTGTACCATAAAGTACTGCTGCTTCTGTAGTTAAATAAAACGAGGTGTGAATTTTAAATGTGGACTAATTAAGCAACATTTGGTAACACCTTCTCCTTTTTTATGTGACATGCAGCAGCTGCAGACCAGTTAAGAACACTTGGTGATAATAAATGGTTAAAGTGACAAGGTGCTGAAATCTACATAGACAATGTTTATTTAGCTAGAAAAGCCCATTAACCAAATGGTACTAATTCTTTGGAGAGGGGGAAACTAGAAGAGAAGTTAGTACTTTCTTTCTTTATCTCCCTGATGGGTGTTTCTTTTGCTACTTTTAAGACTAACTCTCCTGTCAAAAGTTTTAACCATGTAAAGAACTACTATCATAAAATCTATAAGTCTCTAACCTTATTAAGAAAAGGACCAGTTGCTTGATTGTAGGTAGAAATGCAGGTTAGAGATAACACAAATAGTGGCAGTGAGTGGGCCAGTATAGACAGCACCAAAAAGACTCAAATTAGTGGTTTTGATACTGGTAATTGCTGCCTTAGGAAAAAAAAAAAGAACCACAGAGACAGACTGACTTCCAGGAATTAAAGCAAATATAGCATGCAGGAAACCAAAACAGAACAAACTTTAATCTTTTCCTATCAAGTCCGAAACAATTTGTACATGGTTTCTGCATACGAAGAGATACACCAGAAATCAGTTAAAGCAAAGTTCTTTTTTGCATCCAGGGTTATATCTAATAATAGAAATCCTTCTTTCTTCAGAATAAAACCATTAACTCTGTCAATATTCGAGATTACACATCTATATTGAGAGAAGTCAACAAAAAATTCAAGACATCTCTTCCATAAACAATTCCTTACACTTTCAGAAACATCTACTTGTGCCTGGGAAAAAGAAGTATGGATAAATTATGAGTTATTTACTCTGGGAAAGAAAATTTGATGCTCTCTCCTTTTGGAACACACCAACCAAAGGTGTTATTTTTCTGAGACGATCTCTTCTACAAGTAATAAAATACCATGTAGTACCCAAGACTGATCTATTAACTCTTAAATGAAAGATAAGTAAAACAAAGAAAGAAATACCCTGAAGTTTAATGACTCTCCCATCATACATAAAGTTCACAGCAGGTTCTAGGATTCATATACAGTAGACTCCCAAAACTGTTCTCTGCTCTAGTTACATCCTCACTACATAATTTACAGTAATTAGAAAACATTCCTGAAAGAGAAACTTACTTGGAGAGGCAGGAGAAATAATTTACTTTCAGAACATGTCTAGATATTTACTAAATTAACTTAAAAAACAACTAATAACAAAAGGAAAACACACCAAAACATACTTAGATATATATAATTGATACATCTTTACTGTAAAGATTAGTAATGAGAAAATTATCTATCTTACTGGTTGTAGGAACCACAAGTTCCTATGAATTACTCAATGCTGCATATGCTTACAATTATTGTCAACACACAAAAAAATGTGTGAAAACCATATTCACTACAATGTAAACTGTAGTCCTCAGCAACTTCAAGAAGAGGAGCATCACAAAGACCTCCATGCAGGTTAAGAGATACCACTTGCCTACACACAAACACACACAACCCACAAGTTGAAAGAAAAAGCATGAACTGAATTACTTTTTATATTTTTCCTATATACTCATACATTTAGTGAAATTGTCATACAGAAAGCAGCATGATAAACAAAAGCACCTCAAGGGAATACAAAACTACTTATTTCATTTGTTTGAATTTCAATTATTGATTTATGAATATGCAATACATGCAGAAGTTTGGAATGCATTAATTATATGATATCGTTTAACTCAAGGCTTTTACAAAGGTGATCCTTACATTCATACCAGCTTTAAACAAGTCAGCATTGTGCATACAGATATAAATGTATAATATTAACTGTTCATGTATATTTGAAGTATTAACTATTGAAATTTTAGTTTATAACATCAGTAATAGAACTTTAACACTTCATTTTTACACACTCATGTAAACATTGAGCAGTAAAAATAAGCTTATAAAAATGTACTTCTCAAAAACTGTGGCCAATTTTAAAGGTGCCATAAACCCAAATGCCAATTAAATCTGACCATTAAATAAGCATTCCAGAGACAGCATTTTGAACCTAAGCATATTCATGTCATATTCCTGTAAGAGACAATGATTAAAATACTGAAAGTACATCCAAATTCTGTGGTATGAAGCTACAATATCCTACACATTTTCAGAAATTAAATGAACAGGAGAATCTATATATTTCCAGTAAAGACTGGAATTTCTTCTGTTCCATATAAACCGCAAACATATCAAATATATCTGCTATGTTCACAAGACATGGACGTAAAACAGTATTTTCCTGGATCACAGATCTTCTAGCAAAATTAATTTCTTGATGACACTTTTTATCAATTTAAGTGCTACTTTGTCAATGTGTGGGAAACAATTATCATATTCATTCAACTTAAAAGAAACATTCCAGAAGGAAGAAAGAGATACAGAGAATGTGAGCAAGCAGAGATGTCAATTCAGAAGACTGTCTCTCAAAAAAACCCAACAACATATATATAATACATACAGTATTTTAAATATATTTTAAGTCATCATCTTACCATACTGCCTTTAAGATTTGATATTTTGTTTAAAAACAAAAGAGCTAACATTCAATGTATCACCTGCAACTTTTCCTGATGCAAGGCAGTTCTGCTGTTTTATATAAAAAGTTAGCGGAAATTCTACCTTTTTTTTTTAAGATCAATGCAAAATTTAAAATATTTATTGTTATGTAACTACAGTTCAAAGTTAATAGCTTCTTCAGACTTTTTAATCTAAATCAAATTCAGAAGAGTCAGGATTTTCCATATATTCTCAGTACAGCTCTAGACTAGTTTTGATGATAAGGTTATCAGTTTTTTCAAAAAAGATAAAACAAAGAACGTTCCAAAATTAATTACGCTTGTGAATTTTCTAATAGGTTTTTGGTAAAGTTTTTTTTCTCTTTTTGTGTAACTCGATCTTGATTGACAGCTTTGAACTCTAACTTCCTATAACAACTTCTTTAAATTTAGCTCTAAATATGATCCCTGTCTGAAAAATGTGATGTGCTGTTGAAGACCTTATTTGGTGAATTAGAAAGTCATGCTGTGGAAAATCAAAGATGCATGAGTGAATGTAAGGCATACAAATATGGACTGTAAAAATTTTAGAAAAATATTTGTTCGCTGAAGGAATGACAACAGAGGACTAAAAATAAACACTAAAAGTCCTCCTCCCCTCTTTTAATAGTCTGCTTGAACAGCCTTTCATTACTGAATTTGCAAAGATTATGGCTGAGAAGATTCTGTTTTTATAAACTCCACTTATGTGGTTGCTACAAACAAACAAACACAGTGATTTTAAATCCTGTCTATTGTCAACACAAAGATGGGTTCTATGTAGCATGTTTGCAGAGCTGTAGAACCAGAGTACATGAGATTAAGTGGATTCTCCTCCAGAAAGGGAGGAAGAAAGTATAATATCTGGGATTGAAAACTTCACAACAATAAACATAGTATATTTGCCAGGCAATTTGAAATGTAGGTGTGGTTTATACTTTGTCAAATTTTGTTTCCTTCCTTTACAAATGCATGTCCCCAGACCATTGTATGCTGAAATAAAACAGTTGTACAGGACAGACTCATTAACTTTTACCCTGCATATTCTTATCCATTTGCAAAATTTCACAGCAATTTCATGCTATCACAAAGCCAATTAGATAATCACTGTCCTAATTTTGTATATGGGGTACTGGACAGTGAAACCACTGTATATCAAATAAAAACTCGTTTGTACTTTGTCTATATAAATGATTTTTTTCCAAACAGTCCTTTAAAAAAGATTTTGAAAAGTCTGATATCTAAAAAGCAACTGGTTTTCTTTCATCCTTGAATGTGAAGACTCTCATTATATATATGAGTTAGGATACCTTAAAAGAAAATTTATTATAAATTTTAAAAAAGTGCATGTATTTCAACTTTTTTCTGAATCTGGATTTACAGCAGACAGAACAAGGACTACTACAGAAAGCTCTGGTGCTGAGGGAAGAAGCGCTGGTGATTATTCCCAAAAAGTTGAGTAGATAACTTTTCTTAACAAGATATCAATGTTATTGTAAATCAATGGAACAAATTCATATCATACAAGAGACTAAAAAAACTTTTGTGCTGTTGATCCATGTGATAGCAGATGACTAGACAGAGAGAGGGAGAGAGCTGTGAGAGTAAAGATGACTACAATAGCATGGACAAATGAACAATTACAACAACTTTCCCTCTGAAATAACAAAATTGTTACAGTACTGTTTACTTCCAATCCTAAACTTGTATTGCATGATACTATTTAGTGACATAGTGCCCAATCTTTTCACTTAAGTGTATTATACTTTCTCATAAATATATTTCTCATAACTCTAATTTCACTAAGAGTGTTCATTAATGTGTTTTTTACTGAAGGGAACGAGACAAAAACACACAAAACACTTGAGGCTTAAGACAATAGAAACAGCTTCACAGAAACAGATAGCCTAACTGTTTTTTTTATTGAAAGCTGGAATCTCTTTTTGGGTTGTCATAGGTGATCTAAAAATTACTCTTCTCTACATTCTCCATCAGTCTCATTAACACATTCTGTCAAATAGGTTAATGCACAAATTTTAATATGGCCCTACATACCACCTATCCTGGCCTTAAAGCAGTATTTAGAACCTCTAAGAAACTGTTTTAATTTTAGAACTGATGTTTGAATTAGCACTGGGTTTAACAAGACACAGCAATAACATGCATCTCAAAGCTGAATCCTATTATAATTACAAAAAGCAATTACAGGCATGCAGCACTTTAGCTCCTTGTTCTCCACAGTCATTCTGGATTCTACACCAAAAGTATGATGATGGATTGTCTAACTTCATTTTAGTGAGGTCATTCTTTCAGTTTAGACTTAAACACATTTTTATTCTACCTGGAAAAGAAGGTTGTACAGGTTGTATTAGCTCCGGCTGCTTGAGAGGATTTCCAAAATAGACAAACCACTCTTTTACCAAAGGATAGGCTCCATCTAAAAAAAGACAGAATTGGATTAATAAGTCAAATACAAGTATTGACACTAGTAAGCAGTTGTGACCAAGAAAAAAGTTTTAGCAACTTTATGACAAATCAGAGCAAATGAAGAGAGTTTCAATCATGTACTATATACATGAGTTCGGAGTTGGAAACTGCAGCCAAAAATATAAGTTCAAGAGTCTGTAGAAAGCATTTGAAAACAGCTTTAGACCTTCCCATTATAAGGCAGTTCAGGAAGCTCTGGAGGTATCTGGCATAGCGTAGGGACCTACATGAGCTACCTCAGTCTCAGGACTGTTGCACTGCCACATATGCAGGCAGTGCTTAATAATTCACCTCCCAACTTCCCCTGACATCTCCTGTGTCAGGGTCTGAGCCAAAATCTTTATAAGTAGATCTTGATGGCTATTTGAAAGCTGAAAACGATGGAGCCATCCCACCATCAGATGCAGAGCTTTTACAGCCCATTGTTCCAGACCTTTTATCTAGTATAAAGGGATTGTTTCTGCGTAATAGCTCAAGTGGCTTGCTAGTCACTAACCTCAACTCTGCCCTGCCCCCCACTAAAGAGTAGGGTGTATCTTAAACTAAAAATGTCCCTTCTTGAGTTGTGCATCTAACTATTTGATGCTTGGGAAAAAAAAACTACAAACCAGAAGAGTACCCTCAGATAAAAATTAAGAATTTAACCATTTTTGAAATGCAGTCTATCCAATTTACAATAGTCAGCTCAAAATCATTCCACTGCAGGTCTCCATAAAAAAAACCCAATAAACAAACAAACCCAGAATCATTGTTTTTATAAACGGTGCTTCTGCATTCTGTTCAGATTTTGCTTATGGTAACCATGTCATAGTGCCCTAAATTTCTACTCTCTATAGTCTGGTAAATAGTATAACTTAAAAAGGTTTAGCTGGTCCTGGGCACTTGGAGTAGTGTTTCAAATCTTTTCTTCTTTTCCTTCACTTGTCCTTTTGAGGTTCACAGAATTGCATCTCTAATTCCTTCCAGCTCTCACCCTGTGCTGAAGCCACTGTTCTTAAAAATTCCTGCTTTTTATCATCATTTCCAATCTCCCTGCAATTTACTGCACAAGTATTTCTGATGCCACATTGTGAACCTTAATCAAAAACTTCACCAAGATTAAAACAAACCAAACAAATCTCTCCAACACTGACCTTCCATTCTCCACCCAAAAAAAAGTTTTGTCACATGAACTTCTTGATCTTGTTTATAGCTCAGTCAGTGCTGGAGATGACTGTTGGCAAGAATGAATGAGTAGTGTGCTGTAGTGCAAGGGCAGAAATTCCTCAGATGGAATTCTAGTGTCAGGGATAAGAGACAGGGAAAAAAAAATGACAAAATCTGTTTTACAATCCCTGCTTCTTCTTCCTTCCTTCCTTACCCATAGACCTGCAGCACAAACTCCCAGTAAAGGTGAGGAGGGACTGAAGAACCAACAGATGGACTATGGGGGACAGTATTACACCTGGCTTGCCATGCCTCACTGTTAAAAAACTGATGACATTGAGTATAAAATTAAAAATGCCTACTCTAGGGGGAAAAAAAACCCTTAAACTGTACATTCCAGTAGCTGAATAGTCTCACTTTTGATTATAAATCATTGTCTGTGATAATGGTATTTCATGCACAAAGCCCTCCAATTTAATATCCCAAAGTCACTTTCAGAAACATTCTGATGTTTTAGCATTGTTTTAAGATTTAGTACGTATTTATTCAGCTCATTCAGCCTCCTAAATTTTAGCCTAGTTTCTTAAGGAAGCAAACCTAATAAAATTAGGACTTCTGTCTTATAATTAATTCATGGATGCACTGCTCTGTTTCAACTAAATCTGACAAAGGAGAGTGATTCCAAATGGATTGAAGTCCTAAATATTTTGTGAAACTGGTGACTCAGATGACAGAGGGATCTTATTAGGGCACCAACTGAAAGAAAGGCAGGAAAGTCAGCTTACCTGTTTTATCCAAACAGCCTACATAGTAAATCAAATACACAAGTAGCTGTAGAAAAGCTAAAGCTGAGAAAAAAGGTAGATGGGATTTGGGAATAGCAGGAAGCAATAGAGAACACGCTTAGGAACACCATATATTGCACAAGGGAGTTGTCAAGGACATGAGGAGAAATTAAGATGCTGGGAAGAAGCACGGAAATAGAAAAGCTTTGTTGAGGGGAAACTGGCAGGGAGCATCACTCTGTGAGTTCCACAGTTCACAGAAAAACTTATCAAAATGTGTCTTAATTCTAAATACCAGTGAAATGCCAACCCTCTCTGCATGGAAATATCTCTGGAAAAAAATCCCTAACCCTTTAACCCAGTGCACATAAAGAGTATCACCGGTGAAATCTAAGAAATAACATTCCTTTGTTTAAATAGATTCTGAATAACCTGTGGAAGCAATGCTTAGGCAGCCTAAGGAAAGTTTCAACTATGTGCAAAACATAAGACAGCTGGAAGACGCTGTTACATGTGTTCCTCTACACCTGCAATAATGCCAGCCCTCCTTAGTGGTCACTGGTGATAACCAGCAAAAATTCTGCTAATGAAATGTTTTTGACGGTGTCAAAGCGAGAATCAGTCTAGCCCGCTAATGTTAGAACTGGGAGTGATGCCAGGACTTCCAGGAGCTGGCCATGGGCTTAGGCTACATTACATAATGTCCTAATTGGCAATGGTCATGCAGGTGCAGATACTTCCATAGACTGTGCTAGTGCCAAAACCTGCTGGCTTTATTCTGAACTCTTTGCACACACAAGAAAGAGGTTGGCTGGCCTATTGAGATGCATTATTTATCGTTATTTTGCCCTCCTACTTGAATTTTTCCAAAAAGTACTTTTTATAGGAAGATGCTAAAAATTGACAATTTATATCTCTATATGGAATATTTCAGGTAATGATCAGAAATAGCTCAATTAATTATAAATGTACTTTTAAAATAGGCAACAAATGGCATGTTATCAGAATCACCATCAGCCTCCTATTTATTTTTGGAGGGTCAAAATTAAGGCTGTGATTCTGCAACATTTCCATGAGTAGAGATACATACATGCTTACCGTACGTCAAACTATACCAAAGCCATGAGCAATTCTTTCAGCAGCACTGCTAACTTTTACAGGAGGCCACTGATTTGCTCATTCCAATTCCCTGCCATTCCCTTGGGATGTTTCACTACAGCTGTATGTGGCTACACAGAGTCAGATGGGGAAACAAAACCAGGTTAGTTACCTGACTGCAAGAAAGGGAGGGAAGAGAGAGAGAGAGGGAGAGAGAGACAGAGGCTATTTTCAGTTTCCCAAACTAGGCCACCACACAGCTGCACAAACAGCTGCACCAGCACAACTGAGAGGATGTACAGAGACTGAAATGAGTGGCTGTGCAAGAGAATTACTTACACTGGCAGCAAAAGAAACACTTATTCCACTATGGCTTCAGGCAAAGTGGCATGGTATAGGCCAATGGTTTCGAAGGATATCAAAGATATCAAAGGTTTCTAAGGACATCCTGTTCCTATGGATTTGTGGGTCTCTTAGGCACCCTTGGAAATCTCACCCTAGATGTTCAAAACTAACAGTATCTTATTTCAGAGTAGAGGAAACAGTTTACATTATATTTAACCTGTTTTTACTAAAACCGTAACCACTGTTTTTACTAAATGTTGGTTGCTTTACCAGTTAACAGTAAATAAGTAGATTTGCAAACTGCAAGGAGGTCAGTTTCCAGCACAGGGTAATTGACAGATATTAAGGAATAAAAAAAAGGATCACTAACACATACATCACCACTGCAAACTGGAACATTGTGTAGAGTTAGCCAAGTTAGCTTCAAATGTGCTACATCAGCAGCTGTATCATTATGGCAGCAGACTCCACATGGACTAATCTAATTGGTTGTATTGTTCCAGTAAACTCCTTTTTAATGCTAATCCCAAGTGATTCTACATTATACTACAACCCACAGACAGTACTTCTTTCCATCCAACCTCTTACGAAATTACAAAGAAACAGTCAACTTGACCTCATCTGAGGGAAACTGGCAAAAGATTCTACTTACTTGGTATAGAACAAAACTTCCTTGTAGGTTTAGCAGTGAATCCATAAAAAAATAATGCTTACACTTACTTATGAATTCCAATATAGACTCTGACTAATGATCTACGCTCTTGACTTAGAAGCAACTATACACTGGAATACAAAAGCAACCCATGAACTACTAGGAAGTGACATGGTTAAAGCAATTAGAGATAAATAAACACACTAAAAATGCAGATTTAATAGAGGTGTTATCCAGACACACTCTACCTACCTTTCTGGAAGGGTTAAGGATCGACGGGGCACTATTATTTATTTTAGAAAATTATCTCAAAAATCAAATATATTTGAAGTCTGAACTAAGAATAAATAATACATGCTACCTGTGGTTTTATTCTAAAATCAGTTTCTTAAAAGAAGACATCTTTCACATTCAAATTTAATTTTCAGTATGATTCTAAATTAATGTTTCTGTATTTCAATTCTAATCTTTGAGTTCTAAACCCACTGTAACACAAATGTAGATCTGCCTATTACCCTGACATCTCACAGCAAAAAATTGTTAATTAGAAATTTTGGTCTGGGTGTTTCTGAAAACATCAGTGAATATCCTGCTGCTTAGAGGAATAAACAAAACTCAGTCAAGTTATAATTGTCTACAAAATGTAGAGGCAGCAGGCCGAAAAATGAAAAATGACAGATATGCATGATTACTGCTGAGATTATTGTTACTGTCTCCAAATGACTACGTAAACTCTGATTCAGTTTTTCCTATTTTTTTTCCTACTATGGCACAACTTCAACCTCTGGCTGCTGAAGGAAGTCATGTACTTAATTACCTTTCTGTGCCTTTCTAAGCAAATAGTTTGAATATTAGGTTTGGTGGCGGTGCACTTTCATCAATAAAATGTAAAGTGATTACTGTGGAGAAATCAACATATTCAAAAGAATAAAAGTTCAGTACACATTTTATTTTCAACTCACTGCCTGAAAGACACTGTAAAGATAACATTTAACTAATGGAAGTCTTAAGAACATGAAATTTTCCAAGGATGTGAATAAAGAACTCTCTGTCTTGAAGGAGATGAATGGAAGCACAGATGTATGTACCTGCTACAGAATCTGTTTATACCACTGGATAAAGAAATCATATTTTCTTGCACTTGGATGAAAGAACTAATAATCGCTGGCATGACTACTTGCATTTGTATTATTACAGTAACTATATTTGACTGGTCTTAAAATTGCAGACTTAAAATCAACAGAAGGTAAAATTTTAACAATGCATTATTGTTTCTGCAAAAGTGTATTACAACTCACTAATTCATCAGGAGCCACACTTACCAAAGCAACATAAGGTTTCATATACTCTCAAACTTTCAAAAATCTTCTAAAGATTGTTGTTTTGCTCAATCTTTTGATCATTAACTACTTTCACAACTTCCCATTTAACAAGGAAAAAAACCCCAATTTTTTAAAATCACTTTAAAAGCAATGAAATGGAACAGCATGTAGAAAAAATCCCACAATTTCACTGTCACAATTTCTCTTGATTCCATAAGAAGTACACTTCAGCTGCCCAGAGTTTTTATTCTAAATGCATTTTTATCCTAAATGCCATTTATCCTAAATGCTGATGTAGCCACTGAAGTAATGAATTCAAGATTTCATATTTCAAAATTGAACATATACTTGAATAACAGTGTAAGTAGTTTAATTCTTACCTTTCCCAGATTCCAACAAGACAGAATAAATATGCTGACGAGCAGGGCGGTAGATAAGTGACTGTCCAGGAATCTCTGTATCACAATCATCTTCCAAAGAGTTGCTGCACTCAATCTCTCCATTACTCAGGATATTGAAGACTGAATAATTTTCAGATTGGATATGCTGTTCTTTAGCTAACTGTTTTTTCAAAGAAGGAAGAAGGCATTATTTCCAAAAATAAGAAAGATCAAAATGTAACAAAATGTATTCACTCTTTGAAGAAATAGTTCTTTTTCTATCAGTGACAATAGACGGAATAGCCAGGGAGGGAACAAGTGCTTTTTCAAATAACACCAGTATACTGTAGTTTCAGATCTCTATCTTTTTGTAGACAGGAATCCCCAGGAAACCTATCATTGTCTTTCTTAGTCCCTCTTTTAATTCTTAAAACTTGGGAGCTTGAATGACAGTTTTTTGGAGAGTAATTATTCTTAAAATGATTTCTGAATTCAGACATAGCTGTCCTCCTTTAGTCACCTGAAAATGTATCTTCTCTCTTTAAATAGTGAGTGAAGGCATGACAAACCCCAAACTTCTAATTTTATTGCAAGATGAACTACATAAGACAGCTCTATTTCTTCCCTGTGCTGACTTTGTGCAGTTTACATTCTGGTGAAATTAGAATACCTAACTTCATGACACATTTACTTTGCAATAGCTCTTCCCCATGTACAGAAATGCAATCCACTCCAGTGAGGAAAACCAGGTCTACAGGATGCTGCTGCAAAGTAGAGTAACAGCATCACCCAGGCTGCATATTAACCACGCACTGGATGTAGATACATCTGGCTACAGCAGCAGGATAAAAGTAGCCTCGGTACCAACAGGGTCTGCTGGTCTGGAGTGGCTTAGATGCAAAAGCAACAAAGCTGCTCCCAGGCAGCGCAGAATTTCAACCAGTAACACTTGCAACCTGGACTGGCCAAGTGGAGACCCAGACAGACTTTCTACTTCACTACCTCAGACCAAAACTATGGGGGTGTTCAAACAGCTGAGTGAATTATTTCCATGGGGTGCCACTAATAAATTCTTCAGGACCCATGCTATATGGTGAGCAGGCACTGATGTCTCTCTGCTCTGCATTCCCTGCATGTATCACACCATCTGTATTACTTGGGTTGTGCCATCCATGCAGCTATCACAGCCTCTTTCTCTGTCAATTACCAGACCACTAGTCAGAGCCAAATTCACCATTTCTGCAGAATTCCAGTATCTGCAAACCTGTGAACTCAGCGTGTCAAGGCTGCAGTCAGACACTGGGTCATTGCTGATCAAAACTAATTCTACTGAAATGTCATACTTTCAGAAGAAATTCTCACATGAGCGTAGAATCAATGATAGGCTTCTGTGTACAACGCCAATCAACAGAGCACTTGCTTATAGCAATAAATTAATGGTTGCCCTGAAAGAAATATTTTCGTGTTCCTAATATGTGTAAACAATGTAATCCCCCAAGTCTACTTTTGTATAAAATAAAAACCAGAATTAAGTATTTCTAAGCATGATTTGAATGAAGCATTAAACTGTTTCATAAAAACCACTGTCACAGATACGAGGTCATTTAAAAATACTGCTTTATTGTAATTTGCCAATAACCTACATATCCTCATGTACTGAAAAAAATACAAGCTGATTTCAGAAGTATTGCTGTATTCAGTGCTGTATCTTGAAAAATATTTCTGATTCATACCTACAGTCAGCCAGAAAGTTGTGCTCTTTTTTCTGAGAGAAAGAGCAACACAAGGCTAGGTCGTCACAGTTGGAATTGAGAAGTGTGTGTCATTTGCATGCAGTTCAGATTATGTGCAATGTAAGCAGAACTACATATGGGTTTCAAAATATGAAGCAAAGCACACACATTACATATACAAATATTTAAACACCTGTAACAAAAACAAAAGAGAAGTTAACACATCTAACATTTTTACTTTAATTTCCTTGGCCCAGGGACTGTCTTCACATAGGATTTATGCAGCAACGTTGAAGAGGCATTCTTAACTGGAGTTTCTAACCATTATTATTTTATTACAGCAGTAGCTCAGCATGATGCCAGAGAACTGCAACTCTTCAAATGAAAGATCAAGCTAAGAAATAATGACCACTTGTCATAAAGACTGCATGGTACATTCTCTTAAGAAATAAGGATATTGCCACTATTGTCCTGGCCGTAATCCAACCTAGATAATTACATTCTGGCTAATTTTTCCTTGCACGTCAAGCATAAACAGTATTTTTCAACACTTTATTATGAGGTATGGTTGCTGATTTTTAAAATGTCTTCTATATAACTACAACAGTCAAAAGCGACATGCATTGTACCTATGTGTGGATAATAAAAAAAGCCCAAATATATCTGCAGTTTAGCTGAAATGAGCATTGCATAGGTTACAAGGTAGCTATAAAATGTTTTATAGTTTTTTAAAGGAAAATATAAATGATATGATTACTTTAGAGTAATATGAGGAAACAGAAAAATTGTTTTAAAGAAAATGCTCAAGATAAGTAAGAGAGACAGAAAAAAGGGCTCTGTGTTTGAAGTCTATAAGAACCTAATAAAATAGGAAGTGACAGATGGCTAATATAGGGTCTAAAATACACTTCCTTGTATAGATTTCCTTTTTTAAATCTCAGTATGTTATCTTAAATGCCATGAATTCACAGAATTGTACTCTAGACTTACTACTATTGCATAAATTCTGATGCAAGGTAGCTCATTTTCTATTAGCCAGGTAGGCTACCCTAAGCTAATATATCCAATTTCCCAGAGTGACTCAGTCTGACATGCCATGTCTCACCCCAACACCAGCACGTCCCTGCCCATGCAGGAAGCCATAAGTGAAACTGGAGAGGTGGGCCTGTGCAAACCTCATGAAGTTCAAACAAGGCCACGTGCAAGGTCCTGCACATGGGTCTGAGCAATCCCAAGCACAAGTACAGGTGGGATGGAGAATGGATTGAGAGCAGCTCAGAGAAGGACTTTAGGGTGTTGCTGGACAAGCAGTTTGACCTGACTAGTAATGTGTGCTTGCAGCCCAGAAAGCCAATTGCATCCTGGTCTGCATCAAAAGCAGTGTGGCCAGCAGGTCAAGATCCTCCCCATCTACTCTGCTCTGTTGAGACCCCACCTGGAGTATTGTGTCCAGTTCTGGTCTCCTCAGCACAGGAAGGACATAGACCTCTTGGAGCAGGTCCAAAGGTGATCTGAGGTCTGGAGTACCTCTCCTACGAAGACAGGCTGAGAGAGTTGGAGTTGTTCAGCCTGGAGAAGAGAAGGCTCTGGGGAGACTTTAAGCAGACTTCCAGTACCTAAAGGGAGCTACAAGAGGGCTGGAAAAGGACTTTTCACAAGGGCATGTAGTTACAGGACGAGGAGAAATGGCTTTAAACTGAAAGAAGGTAGGTTTAGATTAGTTATTAGGAAAAATTCTTTACTGTGAGGGTGGTGAGGCACTGGCCCAAGTTGTCCAGACAAGTGGTGGACCATCCCTGGAAGTGTTCAAGGCCAGGTTGGATGGGCCTCTGAGCAACCTGGTCTAGTGGAAGGTGTCCCTGTCCAGGGCAGGGGTTTGGAACTAGGTGATCTTTAAGGTCCCTTCTAACCCCAGCCATTCTACAATTCTAAGATATGATTCTGTACGAAGTTCCACCACAATTTCAACTTCTGCATTCTTAGCACAGCTTTCTTTGGTACCTTGACTGCATGTGCCAGGCACAGCCAAGCAAACCACTGACCAGCTTATGGCTGACTTGTGGGTTCTCAAAGTAAAAGGAAGTCAATACATCATGTAATACATGGGAAGTACATCTCTATGCCCAACTATTGGCCTACAAAGCAGTTGCTCCACATTATTAGACCTGCTTGATGCTTCAAAAAGAGAACCACTTTTTACTAAATGTGCCACATCTACCCTTGTAGTGATGCATGCAATAGTCCTAACCATGGCTCTACTTAACAGACAAAAGATTTTGCACAAGCAAATTTAATTCAATAAGTTCACTGTACTAATTACCAACTTCCACTAAGTTGTCATGGCAATAAAGTGATCACTAAGCTTTAAAAAACAAGTTACCTGAAAGATTTCTTTATCTTGACAGATGGCTGATTGCTGCTGAAGAGATAACATTTGACAATTTGTTACATTGGGAGGAATCCATGGAGACTGCTGCCCAGGCAAAAGATAGGACTTTACTCCTCTGTAAAGTAACGTTTTGTCAGATCCCAGAGGTAGCATGTCTTCCAAGTGTTTCAGGCTGCTGTATGAGCATGGAATTTTTGAGATGTAATTTGCTACACCTAGAAGTATTTTTGTTCTTCTGTTGTAGCTGTTGTTCTTGTGGGGACTGGTGACTAAACATTTGTGCCAAAAGCCTTCCAACAAGCTTTCTGGAACAATATCATTGCCAAGCAAGGAAGCAAAGAGAGGGAGGTGTGTCAAACTAATACCCAACACGTTGCAAAGTTCCTCTCGAGAGTACATAACAGTGACCAGTCTGTCCAAACGGAGGTTCTCAATGGAAAAGTAGGGACATGTATTATAGATGAGGTAGTCACTATCTTGCCCCAGAATTCCTATGCAGTTGTGTTGCAAACCATATGCAGCCACCTCAAAGTCTGCCTCTTGTAATGTGCATACTGTTTTTTGGCCAAGTGACTTCAAGGCATAACGTGTAAAAGTAGGCAAAGCTGAGGGAAGAACAAACATTTCTCTGCCTGGTTGTTTCCTGTGAGTCTTAATAAACTGAAATAGTCTGGCTATTTCCTTGGTATTATTCCACCTCCGTTTGATCCACTCCTCTCTCTTTTTCTCTTCTACCACTCCGTCAAAGTAAAACACCAACTTGATACCAGCTGCCATAAAAATGTTAACAAAATCCTCTAAAATGGCAAGGTACTCCCGCCACTGGCCACCACACACCCAAAATTCTGGTGTGTACCAGTATCTAACACAACTCATGGCATCTACTACAATAACAGGTGGGAAATCAGGATGATTGACACGATGTTTTTCTGCCATTTCTCTCAGATCTACTGTTTTGCACGCATCAGGGCAAACTCTTGACACAAATCCCTGCAAACCTCTAACGCCCATGGCTGTTCTCTCCAAAACTCACTGCAGTCTGAAAGAAGAAAAATAAAAACAACGTTCTGAAATGCAATAATAAGAAACATAAAGAAATTCTACAAGAAAAAAAAAAAAGACAGCAGTCTGGAAACTGAACTGCTGTTTTTCTGCTTTTGCTGATAGCTTGTTGCCTTGTCCTGGCCTTGTAACAGTTTGAAACAGTTTCCTTGCCATCAACAAACCAGACATAAGTACTCATTCACTCTCGCTTCCACTTCTGTTTTTTATATCAGAGAAATAAGTAAATATCAAAAGGTTTTCATAAATACGACAAAAATTTTCAGATTTATAGCCTATAGAAAAGTATGCCTAGGCAGAAAAACAAGTATAGATTTCTTATTATTAAAAAAACCCCCAAACTTATGCTTATAGGATTCAAAAAGGAAAAAAAAAATTGTGAATTGACAGCTTTTAAAAGTATTCCCGGATTCTCGTAGTTTAAAGATCTAACACCCTCCAGACAGAGTTTTTGAATGCCACCCTCTTTAATCGCAGAATGGTTTGGGTTGGAAGAGGCCTTTAAGCACCCTGCGCCCAGCCCCGGCAGGGCCGGACCCCGCCGCTCCGGGGTCCGTGAGGGGACGGGAACGGGGACGGGGCTGGGGACGGGGAGGGGAGGGGAAGAGATGAGGCTGAATCCGCGCCCACCCCCCGAGCCCCCCAGTCCCACCAACCGCCGCCCCGCACTGACCCGAGCAGCGCTTCCGCTTCCCTTGGGGCGGGGCCGCGCCTGCGCCCGCCGGCGGGGGCGGTGCCGTGGCGCGGGCCCGAGAGGTCCTGGTCCCCGCCGGGCACGGCCGGCTGCGGGAGGGGGGCCGAACTGGTGGGACCCGCATCTGTTCCCGCCCGCGGGATGGGGTCCCTCGGCTTTGTACGGCCACGATGGGGCCGGAGAGGCCATTGTGCCCACGAGCAAACCCAGCCGGGGCGGGGGGACGGGGGACCGTGGGGAGATGAAAGCGTCGCGCACCGAAATCGCTTGAAACCCCCCGAGTCACACACCGGAGATTTATGTCGCTCTTTGGCAGCGCGAGGGGGGGGGGGGGGGGGCGCGGGTTCGCTTTGCTGTGCCCGGCGATTGCCGACGGAGGGGAACTCCCGTTTTTCCCCCGGGCGCACCCGCCGCACATCCCGGGCTAGAGATAACGGCTCGGCTGCGGGCGCGCCGAGAGCATGGCCCGCTCCCACCCCGCCGGCAACAGGTGGGGGCCTGAATAACTTCACATCTTTCCGGGAGGGGAGAGAGGGACACGGGAGAGCCGATGAGAAGATTAGATCAGATGTTATTGCCGGTGAAAAATTAAACAGAGCGGTTCTCTGGGGAGCACAGATTTATATATTTGGTGACTCCATGTGCACAAAGCCTCACCATTGTAGCCGTGTCTGAATGCCTGTGAATAGGATAGAGCATATGTGGCCTGTCACCGCAGGTGCCCACATCTGTTCGTCTCCGGGCAGATGCTCTCAGAAAAGGGGACAGCATTTCCAAAAGCTCAGGCCCGCCCCATCCATATCCATCCTTTTTCTCATAATCACCTTCTGCAGAGGAGTTTTTGCCCCCACCTTCTCTCTCCTCCCTGCCTTCCCTGCCATGGTAGAAAATGCAGAAAGAAATAAAAGCTGTGCAAATTGGAAGTGGCTTGGAAAGCCCTGAAAACGTATAATCAAACTGCTCCCCCTTCTCCTCCTCCAAAGTATATTAGCAGCAGGTTTTGCGCTGCAGTCAGCATACAATGCACAAGTTGCACACACTGTGTGAAGGGGGCTGCAGACCACAGAGGAACAGAAAAACCCTTCATGCATGAAATGCAGTGCAGTACAGCAGCACGCTGTGCTTACTGTCACAGGGAGAGAGCGGTCTGGCCAGCTACTGTCTGGAGTACTAGTTTGCAGCTACTATTTGGAGTTCTGGCTTAAGATGATGATTAATAAAGCTGAGCAAAAGAAGGAGTTTCCCTATGAGAACAGGTGAAGGCAGTGAATATTTCTACTGAAGCTGGTAGCAGAAGGGAATTTTTCCAGCCATCCAGTGAAATCTTATGGCCAGAATGCAAAAACATTTTTCTGAGAAGTGCTGTCACATTTTTTTATCCCCTGTACACGATCTGAGCCCTATTGTTCACCCTCCTTGTCTGTGACACCCCTACCAAGACAAGCCAGGCCACAGTGCTGCATGGGGTTACACCAGGCTTGGCTAACAGGGCGAATGGGGTGTGGGGCACAGGGTAAATCTCAGGATCATGGGATATTTCATGTGTGAAGGGACTTCAGAAGGTTTTCCAGTTTAAATCTGTGGTTTCTAGCATGTTGAAGATCGTGAGAATCCTTCAATCTAAAGGCGGGCCAAGATGCCGGTACTCCAAATGCGAGGCCGAGCTGCTCCCCAGAGTAACATGAGCATGAGGGCCTATGGATCTCCGTGTACCAGAGCAGGGCCCGGGGGAGAGAATGGCACCTGCCTGGCCCAGGGTACTCGCAGGAGGTTTGGGAGACAATACTGTCCCTGACGGAGGGGAACTCTAGGACCGGGGAAAGGTAAGGCGGGGGAATGTCCTGTCCTCCCCAGGAGGCCCTGTGGTTCTGCCCCCCTGGCGGGAGTACGCAGCCCTTCACCCTTCCCATTTCGGGAGCAATGACAGCTCACGCACACGAGTGACCAATTTTATCCCTCGTACTTTCCCACAAGCAAAATCCCGTCGGAAGCAAGCCAGAGAGCAAACCCAAACAAACAAGTACGGTAGGGAAACGAGGCGGGGGAAGTGGGGGGGCTCGCTTTCTCCTCGTGAGCAATCTGTAAAACACATATAGGGGCCACTTCGGGATTTGCCCAGGGAAGGGCTAGAGAGCAGCTGGCTGCGGTAATCTCTTCGGGAGACAAAGGAATGCCCCGTCCCAGGATCACAGGTAAACACACAACCATTGTAATGAAAATGAGGGGCTAGGATAGGGCCGGAGCAGATGATTTGCGATTTGAAAAAGGGGGCTGGGGGGAAGGGAAGACCCAGAGCTGCTTATCTATCATCTGGCCTCGCTGTGTGCCAGCTGAGCCACGCGACTGCCCTTTCTTATTCTAATCAGCACATGCCTTTGCAACTTTGGGCTAACCTACACGCTAAACTTCTTAATCCCCCTCCCCGCACACGGCAAGGGCGGCGGAGCGCCCCTCCGGCACCGCGGCACCTCCGAGCCCCCCACCCACCCACCTCGGGTCGGGGCGCCCGGAGGCGGGGCCCGGGGCAGCGCCAGCACCCTGATCATGCCTCCGAGCCTGGAGCCGACGGGTGAGCCAGAGCCCAGGCCCAGCGGCACCCTGCCTGCCCTCCCCCCACTTCCCATCCCCTCCCGTCCGGCCCGGCCCGGCCCGGAAGGACAGGTGAAGGGGACGTGCGGGGAGGGCTGCGGCGGGAGGGCAGCCGGGCACACATACCTCCGTAGGGACTATAGACCTAATTAAAATATTATGCACACTCGGCTACACATAGCTCCACACGTACACGTCCCTCCGCCGACGCACCGTTCGCCATATGCCCGGAGCCCTCCGTCCGGGGAAAAATCAGGGTTGCGCGCCAGCGATGGCAGCGCGTAGGCCTAATTAACACACATGCATATCCCACACTCCCCCTTCTGAAGTGACTTTTCCCATAATCTGGCTCGCTTAGAAATAAAAGCTGCGGCTGATGGGTAGCTCTAGGCAGCGCTGCTTCGCGGCGCCACCGTAAATCCTCGCCGGGGCGGGAGAGGGGGGCCGGCGTTGCGGGAAGGGTAACAATTAGGGGCAGGGAGGGCGAGCACAATGCTCCACCAGCCCCAACGAGCCGCTGGCAGGCGGGGCCGGGCCCGCAGCGTCCCGGCCGTGCGGGGTCACCGCGCCCTGGCCGGGCCCCGGGCTCCGCACCCTCCCTCCGGGGGTCCCGCTACCGGCTCACCCCGGCTGGGCGGGTGCGGCCGGGCAGGGCGGCGGGACGGGACGGGACGGGACGGGACGGGAGCGGGCGGTCGTTCGTCCGTCCATCCCCGGCAGCGGGGGTCGGTGTCAGTGCGCGGGCACGGTTTAACAGCGCGGGGGCGGCGGGGGCCGGGGGCGAGCGCGGTGCGGAGACACGCGGTTGGGAGCGAAAAAGCGCCATTTGGTTGGGAGCAGATGGCTGGCTGGGGGGCTGATCGCGTCTAAAGGCGTGTCATCCCCCTTCAGCGAGAATCCCTAAGGGCTCCCCTTGTCTTCGAAATCAATGAAAATTAAAGTGCAGAGAATGGATGAATAGTTAGACCTCGAGTCCCTCCTTTGTTCGCCTCAGCTACTGGTGGGCAGGAGTTAAACTACAACAGCCTCCTATAGAAACACTTAAGTTAAACAGTCTCCCCGTTAGCCCAGCATCTGAAAGAGAGAGGGAGAGGGGGGAAAAAAGCAGAAAAAGGAGCTTTCTGCTTGATTTCCCCAATACAGAATCGCGTGGCATAAATTAAGCCCGAGAAGAATGAGCGCCGTGGGCAGGATCCTGCCTGCTCTCACGGCGCCTTTCAGTCACGCTCAGCAGCGGTAATCGAGAAATCTGTGCCACGTCAATTTAACAAATACCCGGTACCGAAGGGGGGTTGTTAAGGATTTGGGGGCAAGTTTTTTCGGTTGTTTTGTGGTTTGGTGGGTTTTTTTTGTTGTTGTGGTTTTTTTTCTAGCACTAGGTTAAAGCCCTCGCGTGTGTAACTTTTTCTTTCAATTTTTTTTTTTTTTTTAAGCAAGGGGATGCTAGTGGACCAAGTTTCTATCTCTCGCAGATTAAAAGATCCGCGGTGATATATCACTTCTCGCCTCCACCCACGGGCCACCCCCAAATTTCAACACAGATTCTGCCACTCTCCTCCCCCCGCCCCACTCGCTTAGTAAACTCGATACGAAGTGATGTTTTTCTCCTGTCTCTCTTCCTTTCCCGGCGATAACGCCACAGCAAAGTTTGCGAAGCAGCGGCAAGCCACTTGAAAAGATGTTGACGCTAGGTGGCAAAAGTAATGTGCAGTGAAAATTGGCGCTGCTGCGGGATGCGCCTCCCCAGTCCCCGTTGCCGAGGCTGGGCACCGTGGGGGCGGACGGCCGGGGCTGCGCTCCCTCCTGGGCCTCCTTCCCTACATCCTCGCGCGGTGGCTGCGGGATGGCTGCTCCCCTCTCTGCCCAGATACAACTGCTGGATAAAAAAACCCAATAAACTCAAACATTCCTGTACATTTAAATTTTCGCTTATGCTTCGACTGGCGAGGAGAGGAGAGAAGAAGAGCACCTTCTTCTGTGGATGGCTCGTTCGACCACAATTAGGTGTAAAAGACACGTGTTGAGTGGTGAAATGTTGCAAATATCTGGATGCTTGTTAAAGTACCGGGGGTACCTGGCTGGGTTTGGGGTAGGTGCCACAAACCCCCGGTAAATGAACGTTGGCAGCTACAGTCCTGGAACAGTTGAGAAGAGCTGTGCTGAATGAACTCATTAGTGATTTTCTTTTAATTGGTATTACTCAATGCTTTTACTTTCAGAAGTCTTTAAGAATTTTTTTTCTAGTGCATTGTAAGATAATTTGTGATCAAGACATCTGCCTCAATGAAAGTCACATTTTGCCATGCAAATGCACGTTTCAACCCAATAAAGTCGCCATAATAAGGCTTTTATCATGGCATACCTACAGTGAGGTTATTGTAGCCAAATCCTCTCCTTTCGCATACAAGCTTAATCTGTGCTGAAATGATCTGTTACAA